ATTAACCACACCGGTATATCAGAGGTTTTGTGCCCCACAGGTGAACTAAAGGAGAAGGTGACCCACTATCTAACTAGGTGACTGGTGAGCATCCAGTCCCTAAAGAAGAAAGACTGGAAGCAGGCCTGTTGGGAAGGGCCCTATCAGGTTATATTGGTCACTGCCTTTGCCATTAGAATAGCAGAAAGAGCAACCTGGGTCCACGTTACCCACTGCAAAAAGGTAAGAACACATACAAGCACCACTGAACACACGCAGAGTTAGAGAGAAGAACTGTACCAATAGGGTCTGGGGATCACCTCTGTTAACGAAGATCTCCTACCCCAACCTATCATCACTGTAGTGTGTTCTCAGGGTGTGAGTATGGGGTAGTACCAAGCAGAAAGACTGAGGACAGGAGCGGGTTGGCGGTTTTTGGGAATAGGGTCTCGGCAATGGTCTTGATATGTCAAGATCCACCACCAATTACGCTATGCCCTTACCATTGTTAAGAAGTAAAAGAGAAGAGTGGTGTAACCGATGTGTGGTGGGCGCGTGCCAGTAAAGGCAGTATAAGGCAGAGAATACCAAAAGGGTGGCTAGATACGTGCACCCTGATTCTACTGATTCAGCTAGTTAGAATTAGTCACCAGGAACCAAGGAAAGGGTTAAACAGACGTAGGAGGAGTTTTAACAAGAAGGAGAATAGCCCTATTTAGATGGATGCGATTGGGGTATCAAGGGGGGTACCGGATGGATACCAAGCTATGAAAGAATTAGGGGAAGGATTTAATACCACGTTCTTTTGGTGGGTGACAATAAACAAAATTGTGGATTGGATTAATTATATCTATTACGACCAACAATGATTTATTGGCCAGACTAGGGATGCAGTAAAAGGGATCTCTGAACAATTATCCGCCATCTCACTCATGACTTAGGAAAAGAGGTTGGCTCTAGATCAGGCAGAAAGGGACGGTGTCTATATAATGGTAAGCCATTGTTGCACATTTATCCCTAATAACACCACACCGGATGGGACGGTCACCAGAGCTCTTGCAGAATTAACTGCTCTAAGTGAAGAATGAGCTGAGAACTCAGAAGTTAGTACATCGTGGATAGGGTGGTTTGATGAAATGTTTGGTAAATGGAAAACCATAGCAGCCACCATCTTAGGGGCGGTCAGCGTTTGTATGGGTATTCTTGTATTATGTGGTTGTTGTCTTGTTCCCTGTGTCCGAGGATTGGTGAGTAAGGCATTGGTGAATGCAGTATCTCAACAAATGATGAGAGATGGACCGACTCCGGACTCTGACCAGGGGAGTGGGAAAAACGATCCTCCAGGCTTGGTGGATGACGAGGACTTTGACCCTGAAAGACCGCAATTGAATGAAATTTTTATTAGTTCTGACGTATGAAGATCAGATTGGTCATGCTTGTAAATACATTTATCCTAAGGGTGTAAAAATTTAGTCAAAGGGTGGACTGATAGAGGAATGATGATTATGTCTAAAATTGGTAACCCCAATACTGATGATGACTGTGTGAACTGTGTTAGGGTTATCATTATAAACCCACTAACAGAGGGGGTGAGTTAGAAACTGCTGAGACAAACATTCCAGGATGAAGGGGACTGAGAAACTGGTTAAAGGCCTCCTAAAGGTGGGCGGAGCAAAGTGCCTTTGTGTGAAGTATAAAAGCTGTATATGTGTTTTTTGGCAGCAGAGCTCTCCATGATTAAACATACAGATCATTCTTGCTGGTTGTGGACCTTTGTTTAATTCATGATTAAACAAGAGCCTTACACCCTCTGGGAATTATTCAGAGCATTAAGTTTGATTAATTAGAGATAGAAATTCTTGTGACAGACATTCAGAAACTTGTTCCGAAGCCACTCCTGCGTTGTCTTGGCTGTGTGCTTAGGGTCTTTGTCCTGTTGGAAGATGAACCTTTGCCCCAGTCTGAGGTCCTTTGCGCTCTGGAGCAGGTTTTCATCAAGGATCTCTCTGTACTTTGCTCCGTTCATCTTTCCCTCAATCCTGACTAGTCTCCCAGTCCCTGCCGCTGAAAAACATCCCCACAGCATGATGCTGCCACCACCATGCTTCACCGTAGAGATGGTGCCAGGTTTCCTCCAGACGTGATGCTTGGCATTCAGGCCAAAGAGTTCAATCTTGGTTTCTTTAGACCAGAGAATCTGGTTTCTCATGGTCTGAGTCCTTTAGGTGCTTTTTGGCAAACTCCAAGTGGGCTGTCATGTGCCTTTTCCTAAGGAGTGGCTTCCGTCTGGCCACTACCATAAAGGCCTGATTGGTGGAGTGCTGCAGAGATGGTTGTCCTTCTGGAAGGTTCTCCCATCTCCACATCTCTCATTCAGAGTGACCATCGGGTTCTTGGTCACCTCCCTGACCAAGGCCCTTCTCCCCAAATTGCTCAGTTTGGCCAGGCGACCATCTCTAGGAAGAGTCTTGGTGGTTTTAAACTTCTTCCATTTAAGAATTATGGAGGCCACTGTGTTCTTGGAGACCAATGCTGCAGACATTTTTTGGTACCCTTCCCCGGACCTGTGCCTCGATACACTCCTGTCTGAGCTCTACGGACAATTCCTTAGATCTCATGGCTTGGTTTTTGCTCTGACATGCAATGTCAACTGTGGGTCCTTATATAGACATGTGTGCCTTTCCAAATCATGTCCAATCAGTTGAATTTACCACAGGTGGATCAAGGATGATCAATGGAAACAGGATGCACCTGAGCTCAATTTCGAGTCTCATAGCAAAGGGTCTGAATACTTATGGAAATAAGGTATTATTATTTATTTTTAATACATTTGCAAGAATTTGTAAAAACCTGTTTTCGCTTTGTCATTATGGGGTATTGTATGTAGATTGATGAGGAAATACATGTATTTAATCCATTTTAGAATAAGGCTGTAACGTAACAAAATGTGGAAAAAGTCAAGGGGTCTGAATACTTTCCGAATGCACTGTCTATTACTGGGGGTGAGGGTCACGCCTTCAAACCATTAAATCGCCCCTGGAACTGGGGCTATAGTGTCTGGCAGTCCTCACAACACTCAGGGAATGATGGTAGGAGATAGGGGGCTAGTCTAGTACACTACAGACCCAAGAGCAAGGAAGTAAGGACACAATCCTTATAGGCCACTGATAGAACCATCACCACCAAATAATACCCCTCAAAACTATGTAGTACCATGCAGCATTGCAACTTCATAAATAAATACATTCATAAATGTATTTGTCTGTTGTAACTATTGCCAACTGAGCGTTCTTAACAGCCATGGGCAGAATAGACAGAAGACAGTTAAACTGTTAATTGGCACTCTCACTCCTCTACTGCAGCGGAAGCTCACAGCAGGAATTTCTTTAGAGGAGTGACTGGACAGCTGGCAGGCCTGGACATGTAGGGGGAGTACTATGGCTCTGATTGGCTCCAGGCCTGGACAGGTAGGGGGAGTACCATGACTCTGATTGGCTCCAGAGAGGGGCCAACAAGGGGAGAAGATTCTGTAGCTTGATGTCTAAAATGGACACAAACACTGTCAGCACCTTGTCATCGTGTGTGTGTATGTGCGTGTCATTATACCCTGATGAAGACAGCTTGTCTGTCGAAATGTTGGTTATTAGGTTATTAAATTATTGCATCTGAGCTCCTAGAGTGTGCAGCTCTCCTTTTCTTTTTCAAGTGTTCTACTCCGTTAGCCAGCACCTCACCTAAATAAGTGTGCGTTTCTTTCGACTCCATATTAATGTGTGCGTGTGTGCCTGCACGTGTGTATGCATGTGTGCTTTGATCCCAAGTGAACACGCGTCAGATCCTCCCAGGGCGTGGGGTGTTAGTGGTCGAGACATATGAGTGTGTTTATTTAAAGTGCATTATGGGAAGGTGATGACGTGATGTCGGAGCACCATCGGTGGATCAGTGCAGTGATCACCATGTTGTTGTTGAGCTGCTTCTGCAACCTGTGGGATCCCAGCAAGTCTGTTCATGTGATTTCATCGGCCCACTTTGTCATTCAATGAATAATCACTGTTATAGTTTCACCTTCCTGTGAAATCCTCCCTAAGGCTATTTCTCACGTCCCCAAGTTTCTCTGAAAATGTGTGTGTGTATGCTGGATGAGGTACAGGAATACACACAAGCACATTTACGATTGACATGGAAAGGGGGGGAGGGGGCTCACATCATCCAATACCAATGTGTAACACCCTGCACCCAACACAAACGTGTATTAAGCTGGCATGTGGCAAGTACAGATGACTGATGGTTTTAAGAGTCAGGCCACAACTTGACACCGAGTTGCCCTACAGGATTCAGAGTTAAGAGGGACACTGCTCCAGACCAGCACACCACCCCGTCATGTCATCATAACATAAATAAATTGCGTCCCAAATGGAACCCTATTCCCTACAGTATGTAGTGCACAAATTTTGACCAGGGCCCATAGAGCTCTGGACAAGAATAATACACTACATAGTAAATAGGGGGCCATTTGGGAGGTTGCCCAAGACAGTAACTTAAATAACTCATCCCTGCCCTGCTGCGTTTCACCATCACTGAAAGACCAGCTCATTGTGATGGTGTGCAAATTTTCACAAAGTGACACACACACACAGGTCTGTGTTGTGAACAATGGCAGTGAGGCAGAAGAGCAGTAATTGGTCAGGGTGGAGCTGAGTCTGTGTTGTTCTCTACCTGAGATGGGTAATCCTCTGTCATGCAGAACCACCAATGGGGGGGGCTTGTATTACCGGAAATCCCCAACAGTCCCCACAAGGATAGTAAAACAAGAAAAATTCTCCCTCATGGGGGCATTTCACACATTCCCCACGAGGACAAAGGCTATTTTAAGGTTAGGGTTTAGAGTTACAATTAGGGATAGGGTTACAATTAGAGTTAGGGGTTACGTTTAGGGTTAAAGATATGGAAAATAGGATTTTGAATGGAAATGAATTTTAGGTCCCGACAAGGATTGTAAAACATATGCTGTGTGTGTGTTATTATGACAGTGTGTGGTGTTCAGACAGCTCCTCACCATTGTTGCTGTGTCTGACACAGTCCTGAAGCACAGCGTGCCACTTCTTCTGCTCCTTCTCTGTCAGCACACAGAAGTAGTGGTGGCGGGCGTATGGATGCCACAGGATCAGAGGGAACTGGGTGGCACACTTCACAAACGGACCACTGTCCACCTTGGCCTTTATACCTAAAACACAAACAAACATTCACGTTTATAGGTGTTCATAGCCTCCTCATCAGGGCACCAAACCAAAGAAAATATATTGAATCAGGAAAGGAATTCCAGAATTTGTCCAATAGGAAAACACTCATTGCTAAATGTTTTGTTACAGTGTGCCCTAATGAATATGGCCTAGCTAGTCACTGAGTACTTTAGTACTTGATCTCACATTGGGGAAAGTGCTGGTTATACCAAAATCCAACAGTGACTCATGATCAGCTGTTTAGTATACACAGATCAGCTAGTCAGGTGTAACCAAATCATATCTCTCACCTGGCAGGCTGGTGTTGATCAGTTCAAGATACTCCTCCATGGAGGTCAGAGCTTTGTATCCAGCACAGTTTATGGTTCCTTTAGGGCGCAAGCCCCTCTCGTGAGCCTATCAGAGAGTACAGAGTGAGGGTGCAGTTTCAAGGAAAGAGGGTGAAAAATGTACAAACAGTTCAGAACCATAAAATCACAGATAAAGTTGTGACCCAAACAATTCAGACTAGCTGGCATCTAAATCTGTCTGATTATGAAAGTAAAAACAAATCTAGCAACAAAAAAATAGATGTTTCAGTTTTCCGACCACCTCACCACTTTGTTTTCATAGAAGCTGATGTTGTAGGTGTCGGCCACGAAGACAAAGCGGTTCCTCCATCTCTTGTTTTCCTCCAGGTACTGGAACAGACCCCCAGAAAAGATGGAGCGGTCCTCCAGAGGGTCCTACCACAACACAACAGACAGTTAGCATTAGAGCTGCTATCACTTGTATTATTGTACTACATGGTAGTGTTAGTACTAGGGATGTGAATCATTCCCTTTCATGACGATTTGATACGTATCTAGATACATGGGCTCTGATACTGTACAGGAACAATACGTTTTGGTTTGAAACAATTCGGTGCGATTTTATTTGATTAGAGAACGAATCGATACAATTTGGTTCAATGCACTAACAACTGTTGCATAAACACATTCATTTTCCATTCTAAATTCAAATCTACTGCTGATGGAGCTCATGAGCTGGATCTGTCTGAGCTGGGTCGGTCTGTAAATGATGTATGTCTAGGGTGTATGTACTATGTAGGCACCTGAGCTGAACCATAAGGGAGTCTAGGCATCTACCACCCCACTACCACTATCAGATCTTTTTTTTTTTACCTGTACAAAAACAAAAGTATTTTTCATTCTATAGCTTGTTCTCCATCTTCTTTTTAAATAGTAAGCCAACATGTTTTCAGCACTCATTTCCATGACTGACCTAGCTGACTAAACTCAACTCCACGATTAACGATGGAGTTGAGCGGCGACTAGTGTGGGCAGACTAGAGCTCCGACGTCACATAAAATGAAAAAAATGAACAAAAAACTACTGATTTCAGCACCCCAAGAATAGTGTGCAATTACATAGGACAATGTCATATTGTATCAGCATCTAAGTATCGTGATAATATCGTATCGTGAGGTCCCTGGCAATTACCAGCCCTAGTTAGTTAGTACCAGCAAAAGCAGCAATGATGGGGCTTCGTCCCGAATGGCACCCTATTCCCTATATAGGGTCTGGTCAAACATAGTGCACTATAAAGGATATAGGGTGCCATTTGGGACGCAACCATGGTGTTTGCAGTTGTACAACCGCTGGTGGCGGTTGAGACTGGATGGCTAAAGTGAGAACACACAGGTGTGGTATATTGTTTACACCACCACTTTGTTTTTAGATTTCCTGTTGTAGATCAAATACTGTAACTCAAACAGCATAATCCCAGCTGAGGAAGGAAGGAAGGAGGGGGAGAGAGGGGTGGAGGGGAGCTGGAGAAGAGAGGTTATGTGTCCTTGGAAGGTGCTAACTGGCAATGCTTGGTAAGATGTGGTGCCTATCAGTGCCTGTGTTTTAATCAGAAAGAGTTTTGTGCTGTTTCCGTGTGTGAATGAAAGTGTGTGTGTGCGCGTCGGTGCGTGCGTGTCACTACCCAGAGTATCACTTGGGTAGTGAAGAGAATAGACAAGGAAAGCAGCCACAAGATTCTTAGCACCATCACAGTTTGTTCATGTGTGAAATCTGTTCTAATTCCATCCAGTGACTTGATGGTGGAGACTAACACAGAACTCAACAGTATTACAGTGGAGATGACTACAGTATGCGTTTCCTATCTGTGTCCATAGCGTTTTGACTGTTGGAGTGTAAACACTCACAACCTAACACTCAGAGATACAACATTAAGGGAGACTCCGAGGAGGATGGTGAGGTAAAGAGATGAAAAGAGAGGATGAGGAGCAGAGGACGACGAGTAGGAGAGACGCAGATGGCGTGGGAATACTGTGAGAGGAAAATGAAGTAACTGAATAAACTGAAGAGGGACCGCTTAATCCAGTGTAAATTATTGTATAGAATTTATTATAAAAGAGACAAAATTCACGAGGGTGCAGTGAGATACCCGATGGGTTGGACAATACTTTTCCCATCAATAATCTTTTAAAAAGTATACTTAAAAACCAATCCTGTAAATGTAAAATGGTTTATTATCTAAATGTTGAAAGTGCGTGGGCGACAGAGGAAAAAAATGGTGCAGTTTGAGGCCATGTGACGGAGAGTAATGTGGGCACTGGAGATGGGGGTGTGAGCAGGTGGGTCTGGGCAGGTGTGATGTGGTTGTGTTTGTGTGTGTCATTTGTATGTGTATGTTTTGTATTGTTAAAAAATATATACACACTACCATTCAAAGGTTTGGGGTCACTTACAAATTGCATTTTTTTTCAAAAGAAAAACAATTTTTTTGTCCATTAAAATAACATAAAATTGATCAGAAATACAGTGTAGACATTGTTAATGTTGTAAATGGCTATTGTAGCTGGAAACGGCAGATTTGTAATGGAATATCTACATAGGCGTACAGAAACCATCAATCCTGTGTTCCAATGGTACGTTGTGTTTGCTAATCCAAGTTTATCATTTTAAAAGGCTAATTGATCATTAGAAAAACCCTTTTGCAATTATGTTAGCACAGCTGAAAACTGTTGTGCTGATTAAAGAAGCAATAAATCTGGCCTTCTTGAGACTAGTTGAGTATCTGGAGCATCAGCAATTGTGGGTTCGATTACAGGCTCAAAATGGCCAGAAACAAATAACTTTCTTCTGAAACTCGTCAGTCTATTATTGTTCTGAGAAATGAAGGCTATTCCATGTGAGAAATTGCCAAGAAATTGAAGATCTCGTACAACGCTGTGTACTACTTCACAGAACAGCGCAAACTGGCTCTAACCAGAATAGAAAGAGGAGTGGGAGGCTCCGGTACACAACTGAGCAAGAGGACAAATACATTAGAGTGTCTAGTTTGAGAAACAGACGCCTCACAGGTCCTCAACTGGCAGTTTCATTAAATAGTACCCGGAAAACACCCGTCTCAATGTAAACAGTGAAGAGGTGACTCCGGGATGCTGACCTTCTAGGCAGAGCCATATCTCAGACTGGCCAATAAAAAGAAAAGATTAAGATGGACAAAAGAACAGACACTGGACTTTTTCTTTGCAACTCTGCCTAGGTCAGCATCCCGGAGTCGCCTCTTCACTGTTGACGTTGAGACTGGTGTTTTGCGGGTACTATTTAATGAAGCTGCCAGTTTTTAACGGTAGTGTATAAATACACACACACAACCAGTCAAATGTTTGGACACACCTACTCATTCAAGGGTTTTTCTTTATTTTTACTATTTTCTACATTGTAGAATAATAGTGAAGACATTAAAACTATGAAATAACACACATGGAATGTTAAACAAATCAACATTTATTTTACATTGAGATTCTTCAAATAGCCACCCTTTGAATTGATGACAGCTTTGCACACTTTTGGCATTCTCTCAAAATAGCAAAGGATGGCTATTTGAATACATTTTAATTTGTTTAACACTTTTTTGGTTACTACATGATTCCATGATGTGTTATTTTATAGTTTTGATGTCTTAACTACTATTCTACAATGTAAAAAAATAAGAAAAACCCTTGAATGAGTAGGTGTGTCCAAACTTTTGACTGGTACTGTATATATATTTTTTTAAACAGAAGAGGGACAGATTGAGCGAGAGAAGAACGCAGGAAGACACAAAAACAGCAACAGAGGGGTGAAGGAGTGCGACAGACAGTCGTCTCCAGGTCAGCCTCTTGCCTTGCGGTGCAGGAGCTGTGGCTGGGGCCCTCCTCCCCCCTCCATCTCAAAGCGGACACTGTTGAAGAGGGCCACTGCATACTGCTGCTCGTACACATGACCAAACTCCTCCGTCACCTGCCTGGTACGAGCTGTGGACAGAGATATAGATGACAGTTAGAACTTACAGTTAGAGAGTAACAAATTCACAACACAGTCTGTAAACAAACTAATAATGGGAATAACCCATTATGTAAAGTAAATGACAACAGGTGCCAAGTTACTCAAACATCAAAACAGACATGTCAATGTTACAAAACACAGTGAGTGAGTGAGTGAGTGAGAGAGAGATAACAGGCTAGACAGTCACAGAAAAACAGCCACAGACAGAGACAAAGAGAAAGAGCGAGAGAGAAAAAAGCGAGAGCGGGAGAGAATGTGGGAGAGAAAGAGTGGGGGAGAGAGAGAGCACAGCTAGCCCACACAGTCCCAGAAACTTCAGCTGGCAGCAGAACCAGAGCATGACACATCAGTAATGTGACTCATCAGATCACAGAGGACTTGGTCGAGAAGAGAAGCTGTGAGACTACCGAAGGGGGCATGGATGACAGGCTTGTGGAGGGGCTATAGGGTGACTCGTAACGAAAGGTGGACTTGACCGTACTCAGACAGGAAAAGCAGAGAAAGACTGTGGAAAAGAGGGCATTAACCGTCCAGTATTTTTACCACCTTTCTATCAGCCCCCCCCCCCCCCCCTATCCCCCACAGGGAGGCTGGCCCATGTTGACTCCAATACTTCACACAGTTGTGTCAAGTTGGCTGGATGTCCGTTGGGTGGTGGATACACACAGGAAACTGTTGAGCGTGAAAAACCCAGCAGCGTTGCAGTTCTTGACACACTCAAACCGGTGTGCCTGGCACCTACTACCATACCCGATTCAAAAGGTACTTCAATGTTTTGTCTTGCCCATTCACCTTCTAAATGGCACACACAAAATCCATGTCTCAATTGTTTAACCTGTCTCCTCCCCTTCATCTACACTGATTTAAGTCAATGTAACAAGTGATATCAATAAGGGATCATATATTTCACCTGGATTCACCTAGTCAGTCTATGTTATGGAAAGAGTTCCTAATGTTTTTTACACTCAGTTTATAAAAAAGGTAGTACAATAAATGAATTATAAATTGGAACAGATAATGAAGATTGCTACAGTAAAGGGACATTAAAGCCTTGAATAACATTGTACCAAGTGAATTTGTAGCACACGACAGACTATATGGAGATTCAAGCATCAGGATGTTGAATGGTAAAATACCATGGTCTAACCAGCAATAAAGACTATCTTCTTTATTATAAAAAACGAGTCATTTTTGGTAGGACCTTTCCTAAAGATACCGGTAGTACTTTTCCTAAATGTGGCACTTTTCCTAAAGATCCCTTATAGTCCACAGGCTTAGCTTGTGGTGGCTCCATGTTCTTAGCTCAACTCTGACATGACACTGTAGTCTGTGAGATGTTTATGGTAGAGGCGCCACAGAAAAGAGAGAACAGCATTTGAGTAGGAGGGCAGGAAGGAAAG